ATGCAGTAGTCTTCGATTGCAGCAGTCCAGAACGTTGTCGCTGGAACGGGAGAAAGCTCGGCGCCGGGCCACGACACGGCGATGCCGCCCGCGGCAAATCCCGAGCGGTCACGGGCAGTTCGACTCGCTCTCCTGCGGCAATCCTGCGGTGCGCAAGTACCGTAGAACTTCCAAAGGCTCCACAGCTGCTCCACACACCATACCTAGATGCGGTCAACAAGAGAGCGACGGAGACAAAAATCGCTCAGAAAGGCAGTCGGCGTGACCGAGGGCCAGTCATCGACGCGTATTAGGGATCGTGGTAAAGTCACCAAGACAGTTTGCGGGGGGTCTCGGGAACGCAGGACCCTTACTTATAGTATTTCGCGTCGGCGTCCGGTCCCTGACGTATTTTCATGTATAACAAGGTGGTAAAATAGTACAGCTCATCTGTGAACTCAATCTACAGGGAGGCACCTCACGAATAGCATCTGGTAGCGACCGATAGATGTAAGGCGATGGATGGTGGCGGTGAAGGCCTGGAGTCAGTTGTCGGCGGGGAGAGCGAGTTAGTAAGAACACACCGCGTTGCAAAACGGAACGGTGCCAACGACTGCGCCGAGATTAGGGTGCTCGGACTCGAGTTGGCCGCGGGATTATCGCGCGGATGTTCCGCGACGGGCGATGTTGATGTGCAGCTCTTCGGCGCAGTGGTCTACGCAGATGTTTCAGTAGCTACCAGGGGAAAAGCCACTGATATATACTTGACCGAATATAGTCGGCTTCTGTCGAGCCATGCACTCACTAACAAAACATATATCAGTGCCTACGAATGCACATGGGGGTAAGCAGTCACTCACTGTCGAACGGGAGCCCCGAGAGGGGAGGGTTGCGTTACCCTGTATGGTAGGAGCTGGTACCGTGGCCGAAGAGACGTTATTCAAGACTTGAGGGGCACTCGTCATCGGTGCTTGCTCTGCCGTATACTCATCGGCAGCCTTAACAGTGACTTCAGCACATAGGACAACCAAATAGACAATCATAATGACTGACGTAGATGAAGAACCGGAGTCCGTCGTCGTCTGCGTACGATCAACCGGGCCATCATCTTCGGCGGGAGTTCTGAAGAAGAAGTCAGATCTCGTAGGTCGACGTGAGCAATGGAAACGTACTCCTGCGATGTGGAGGCAGCGGCCGGCGACGGGCTGTATAAGGTACAATGCATGAGCATCGATAGAGTAAATAAAAAGAATGGCATATACAGCGACATACTCGTCGTCGACAGCCACAGGCTTGTTCCTCTTGTCTGCGGGATTGGGCAGGATATCGTCAAGGGCGCGTCTCTTCGGAGGTATGTCGGAAGATTGAATGAAGGATCGCCGAGTGGAACATGTAGCCGCTCTTAAAGTGGTCTAGTCGTAGTCTGTAAACTGTGAGCGTGAGCTGCAGGAAACAGAACTTTGGTTGAGACATCGTCAGACGACTGGCCTCAGGATGCCTTGGAGAGCGCAAGCTGGCGAGTCGGAGTGATGATGCTAATGCGATGGAGCTGATGGCGGACATTAACCAGTCATCAAGATCACTGGAGGGTCGCAGGTTCAGTCATGAGGGCGAACCGTCTCGGCTATCGTCGGCGGGCGAAGGGCGTGGATGGCAGGCGCAAACTTTGGGCGGCATCCAGAGACAAGAGAGGAAGAAGACAACAGAGAACGTGTTGTGGGCCAGGGATCGACCGCCAGACTGGTTTGTAGAACGCGGTGAGTAGGTCGCGACATAGAGGCTGCATGGCAGCGAGAAGGAAGGTTAATCGCGAGGACGCGTCTTGCGCCGCTTCCTTCCGAACCTCATGCTGCGACCTGTGAGTACATGTGAGTCTTCGTCTCGTTCTCACAGGATTTTGTCTGTCTTACATCAGGATGGTGGTCTTCTGCGGGTCTCGCTCTTGTGTACTCGGGCCCACAGACTGCTGACCAGCGTGAATAGAATCCCCGTGAGCAGTTGGTGTTGCACGGGTGAAGTCGTCAGAGCGCGACGTTTGATCCGACGGCGCGTGCCGGGGACGATATACCTGATATGCGACTTTGTTTGGCGACGGCGCAAGTTACTCTCCGGCGGGCTCCCGGTCTGCATCCCATCTCGATGTCGCGCCAACGCAGCATTCGACAGGCAAGTGCCCGCTTCTTCGTGTGCGGCCGACCACATCCTCACCTACTTTGCTCACTAGGCGCATATCATGATCACCTACATACCAACTGCCGAACAGACGCGCTTCATCAACATACCTGTCACTCACTACTCAATCGATCGCGGTATCTATGTACCCGATTGGGAGCGAGCGTTCAATGGGCCCGCAGAGACGGCTGTCTTCGAAGTGCGCGGTGTTCGCCTCTGCGCATACCTCCCTCGCGAAAGTATGCAGTATGCTTTTTGTAAAGCGCTGCTCGGACCGACTTTGGCCATCCGTACGCGGGGATTGATGCTCGTTTGCGGGCCGCGCCTGCGCGCGACTTCTACGTCAATACGCGCATTGATTCCAGCATCAAGACGAATATGCTCTCCTTCGTTAGAAGGCACGTACCTCGAGGCGTGCATCTAAACATCGAATATTGATGCTTCTTAGTTTAATGCCCGCTGTCGAGGAGGACTGAGTGAGGGCGTTGAAGCAATCTTGTACGAGATTGGGTACTGTATACCTCATACTGAAGTCATAAATGAAGAGGGGCGCCAGTCGCCTGTAGGATTGGTTCATGATCGCATGATACTCTTGCAGTCTCAGCGCTCGGCGCTATAAGGGAGCGGGGGTTCAACCTGGAAAAGGCAACACTTGCGTGATGTCTGAACGTCCCGACGTTAGATTGTTTTTCATCTTGCGTTCCCCGGACATTGGTGAGGGTCGATACCCAACCATCACATGTGTACTCATCCACACAGTCAATTAATACAAGGATCGCGTGTCCGGCATACACACTGGCGAGATCGAAGAAGCGAAGAATGAGCGCGACGCAGAAGGTATAGTAGAGCACGCGAGCGCCACTCTATGCGCGAGTCTGACTATACGAGCGTCGCCCGTCTCCGACGGGCCCTTGTACTTCGTCGAAGGAGACGGTTCGTCGAGCTACGAGAAGCTCTTCTGGGCCGTGGACTTCGCGAAGAGCACGACGTCCATGCCCCTCCCCGATCGTGCGTAGTATTCTCCCTGCCTCCTCAGACATCTGCTGATGCATCCTCAGGCGCGTATCACCGGCCGGGGTCACTGTAAAACTCTCTGTTCACAGTCACGCAGCCCGGTGTACTCCGCTTCTTGCGCACCACGCAGGCCACCCAGAATTTGTATCTTCGGATGAGCCTGCTCTCCAACTCACGCCGTATTGCACAGCTCTCGCGCAGGGCTTGGACTTCAGATGCTCAATGTGGAGGGCGACGTCCCCGAGCTGTACCCGACCAACCGCGCGTTCGCTGATCCTTCGCGGTATTAAGAACAAGACGGCGTCTCCGCGTGGCCACAGGTCGCGTGTCGACGGTGAAGGCAAATCTGTCTTCCGGCCGACCCTTCGTTCAGTATCTATCCTATCGCATAAGGGATCTATGGTGAGTCGTGTCTCTGGTGCGTTATATCACCGCTGACTGGCGGTGTAGAAGACGATCCAGGCGTCCTTCAAGGCCGGCCCCGCCGTGCCCTCGCTGTGCGAGATGAAAGGAAGCGGGGTGCATCATGTGTGAAGTCTGGAAGCCGATCCGGCAAAGCGCGCCGGCACGCCGCTCGGGCCTAAAGCTGTAAGTTGTAGAGTGAGTATATTCACTTAGGGAGGGGGGACACCGATGCATTCTACTCGTATGAATCGTGTATCTTCGTTCGCATACACGATCTTCACCACGACTACGTTATATGCTATTCTCATCTGAGAGACCCACACGTGCGAAGTACCAATGCCATGTCGGGCAGCTATAGTGCCTGGGAGATCAAGCGTGCCGGAGCCTGGAGGGCGTCTAGCGTGTTGGCTCGAAGCATCATGGGTTCAACATGGGTTGGTCCCTTCACTGTCAGCCACATCAATGACGGTGCGCATCCTCCCAGATACTCTAGATCACCCAGGGCAAGCAGTTTAGGGACGAAGAACGCCTGTGGAAAGTCATCCACTATCCCCGCGTGTACAAGAAGCGGCTTAGACACATCTGCTAAATCATGATGCGAAGAAGCACCAACGCGGTTCACGTCTTCTGCCGATAGCATTGTACATTGATCGCCGGCGGTTGTCGCACTTCGCGCATTGCGCACATAAACCGAATGGAACGATCACAGAAGTCTCACGGCTACGTGAGAGGGTAGCGAGGCCAAATACTGGTTAAGACATATCATTGACTGCAACCTTGTCAACGACGTAAGGAACGGGATCAGACACGAGGAACAAGCGTCACCAATCCCATCATCGAAACCTGCGAACACGAGGC